GTGGTTGTATGGTGTGGTGGTGATGCTGGTGTGGTGGTGGTGGTGGGGTGTGGTGGTGATGCTGGTGTGGTGGTTGTGTGGTGATGCTGCTGGTGGTAGTGGTGGTGTGGTGGTAGTAGTTGTGGTTTTGGTGGTGGTGATGTTATGTGGTGGCAATATGGTGTGGTGGTAGTGGTGATGGAGTGGTGTGGTGGTGTTAGTATGGTGTGGTGGTAGTGGTAGTGGTGGTGGAGTGGTGTGGTGGTAGTGGTGGTGGAGTGGTGTGGTGATAGTGGTTGTGGTGGTGGAGTGGTGTGGTGGTAGTGGTGGTGGAGTGATGTGGTGGTAGTGGTTGTGGTGGTGGAGTGATGTGGTGGTAGTGGTGGTGGTAGTATGGTGTGATGGTAGTTGTTGTGGAAATGGTGGTGTGGTGTGGTGGTAGTGATGGTAATATAGTGTGGTGGTGAGGTGGGGGTGAAGTGTGGTTGTGATAGTGCTGGTAGTGATAGTGGTGTGGTGGTGGTGCTGGTGTTGTGGTGGTGCTGGTGTAGTGGTGGTGGTAGTGATGCTGTGCTGTCGGGGGGTCTGGTGCTGCTGGTAGTGGTGGTGGTTGTGGTGTGGTGGTAGTGGTTGTGTCTGTTGTAGTTGTGTAGTGGTAGTGATAGTGTGGTGTGGTGGTTGTGGTAGTGGTGGTGGGAGTGGTGGTAAAGATCGTGGGGGTGTGGTTGTTGCAGTAGTGATGCTGGAGGTGTGGTGTGGTGGTTTTGATGGTGGTAGTGTGGTAATGGTGGTAGTGGTAGTGGTACTGGTAGTGGTGATGTGGTGGTGGTGGTGCTGATGCTCTTGGCGGTGGTAGTGGCGGGAGTGGTGCTGATGCTGGTAATGGGGGTGGCAATGGTGGCGCTGGTGGTAGTAGTGGTGATGGTAGGGGTGGGAGTGGTGCTGGTGCTGGTGCTGGTTGTGATGGTGGTGCTGGTGGTGGTAGTAGTGGTGATTGTGGTAGGGGTAGTGATGGTGCTGGTAATGATAGTGGTAGTGGTGGTAATGGTGGTGACGGTAGTGGTGGTGCTGGTGGTAGTGGCAAGGGTGGTTGTGGTGCTGCTGGGGAATGGGGAGTTGACGAGTTTTCTAGTGTGATTTGCTCTGCTCCTTCTGTCCAATCAACAAGCATCCATCATGTGGGTTGTTGGCGGATTCTCTAGTGTGGTTTGCTTCTTTTTTCCAATGAAACATCTATCGTCCTTATCTCCCCTTCTTCTTTCTCGTATAAGTGTGTGTTACTCTCTTGCAACTCCCCTAATCTTCTGGCGCTCAAATGACCCTATGCAGTTGCGAGCGCCGTAAAAACTTAACTAAAAGTATACCCAAAAAAACCAACATCCATCGTCCTTATAATCTCTCTTCCTTCATACTATGTTGAATGTCAGTAGTTTTTAACCATGTTTATTTATTATATTATATTTAGTGCTGTATACATTATGGGTCAGGCTGAAAGAGAAGAGCAATTTTATTCTGCTCTAAATACTGGACCTGCTGAATGGCGACAAATAAATGTGTAAGCCTGCATATTTATTTGTGTTTGTGTGCTGCCCGTGTCCCCATAAAAAGAGCAAGTAAATAAGGGAGAATGTTGTTATACCGAGGAGAACTCATTACTACGCGGAAGTTTCTCACTGAAACGTAATTAATGTTATCCCAATATTTTTGCTGTTGCATGTCGTGGGTCACCTTTTGTGTTTGTTGTTTGACAGCATTTGTGATGCGCTCGGGTTACTTTGAGTCGTAAGGAAGTAATGTTTGTGCGTGTCTGGTTGTGTGTATGTGTGTGTGTGTGTTTGTGTGTGTGTGTGTGTGTGTGTGTGTGTGTGTGTGTGTGTGTGTGTGTGT